CGTCACACTTTTTCTTTTACAAACTGACTCCGGCCCCCCACCAGAGAAAGGAAAAGTTAGGTGGCCCTCACAGGAAAAAGTTTGGGGACAATTTATCTTTTTTCCACCTCCTCTCAGCACGCCTGCATTCCCGTCTGAGTGCACGAGTGGTTTCATTAAGCCGTGGCTCTAAAACTTTCTTTCTTGTAGTTGATATAGTTTTCAGGGGAGCTACGGTATTTAGAGCATTAAAGCATGCGTTGTTAAAATTAATAAGAGCTTCAATATTAAGATTGCTATCAGTAAGGAATGTAGTATGAGCTAGGACTGCATTCAGTTGAACAGCCATATCAGAGTTAATACTGTAAGAGTGGAAATACTATTTAAGGAGTTGTTTTTGCGAAAGGATTTTAGTACCTCTCTAGGTCAACCTGACCTGACTCCTTTCCTTCCATTTGTGTGCAAAGCGCAAATGGAACCAAAAAATGACTTGGAAAGTTTGCTGTTTGACAGATAAGAGCAACAATTTGAGATAAATTGTCCTATTCAGCAATTCTGAAATGGAGCAGATGTTGGGTTCATGAGGTCTCAAATATTTTAAAGGTCGTCCAATACACACTTAGTTTAAGGCACGCCAGAATCTTTACACAAGTCAAGAGTAGCAACGCCATTGGTTGAAACTTTCCAACTCACACCAGTGAAGATGAGTGTATAAAAAAGGGTGATGTTAAGAATACAGGTAGATTTTTTTGTTGAGACTTTAGAAGATTTTTGAGTATTGAACTGATGAAACTGTAATGAGGAATCCGTGGTAGTGTAATAAATCTCCGGCTCGTCTATGGCCTAGCAGCAAGAACTACGTCTCTGTGCGTTATTTCTTTCACTTATATAATTAAGAGTGTAGCCACCTTTCAATTCTCCAATAATGCTACGACAAAGTAAAGGTTTAGCATTATTTGTAACCACAGAAGATGAAATGTTAATAGAGAATAAAATAGGGAATTGCAAGTCTGAAGAATTTCAATGATATCCAAACAAAGCCCTTGTTTGGATATCAAAGAGTATGTCCCTTTGTGTGTGTTGGTCCAACCACAGATTGTGTAAAATCAAACGAATCAATCAAGTCCAAAAATTCTTTCACCAGAGGTTTATCTGGGCAGCATATGTGTATATTAAAGTCACCTATTATTAAAATATGATCATGCTCTAGGGTAATCCATGCCATAAGTACAGAGAATTCATGAATAAAGTCCTTGTTGAACTTTGGCGGACGATAGATCACCACACACAGAATTGATTCAGTTAATTTCAATTCAAAAGCTTGGAGTTCAAAACTGAAAAATTATTTCATAGATGATTGTTGACAGTGAAAACTGGATTTAAAAATTGTAGCCAGACCTCCACCTTTTCCAGTCAACCGGGGAGTTTATAAAAGCACAGTTCTGAGGTAGAAGTTCAGAAAACGGGAATAACTGACCTTCTTGTAGCCAAGTTTCTGTGATGAATAAAAAATCCAAGAAGTAAACAGATGTATACATACAAAGAAATATGAGAAAAATACATGAATTATTTATAAAATAGCATTATTTAATCATATCCCTCCAGTTTTGTTCAAAATAATTAGTTTAATTATTTTAAGAGTTATACTCATAGAGGAATCAAATTATCTCATTATGGGGTTGAATTTAAAGCAACCTAAGTAACAAAGAAATTTGTAATAATGTTTGGGATTTCATGCATAAAGTAGGGAAACATATTTTCTTGGAGGTTCAAAGAGCCTTTCAATAGATGCAATTTTTTTGTGGTATATTTTTATAGCACATAAATATATGTACCTGAGACCCCAGAATGTACCGAATTCAGAGAATCACCTCCCCTCATTTGCCTGTGTGAACATGAACTACGCAGTGGCACTAAGGTGTTAAGGGGTAAATTTAATAGCTCCGGCTTAACAAATACAGGGCGCACAGACTTTTTCCTGTTCTGAAAAGCTAAAATATAAGCAACATTGCTGCAAATTTTGAACAATAAATGTTAAACTCTTGTGAAAAACGATAAGCTGAAGAAGCTGACAATTAATGTTTACAGTTTACAAAAGTTTTACTGTATTAAGTCTAAAATCACACATCCCAATGAATCATTTGCACTTTTTCTCTTTCAGAGTAGTCTTGATTGTTGAATGCTACTGATAATCATTATTTTAGCTACCTTTAGCTTTTTAGCTAATTTTAACTGTTACTTTTATAATATTGATAATACAAATAAATTGATGCAATTTACTTATAGACACCTTTTTGGACAATCAAAAACACCATACAAAATACATTTAATTTAATAGAGCAAATAGAAAAAACAGTTTAAGCAAATGTTTCAGTTGTAATTTGAAATGGAGTGAATCAGTGGGCAGATGGGACAACAGGTAAATGGAGAAAGAGGATTGAGGCAGTTAATATTATGTAGGTGTAAACCTACATAATATTATGTAGGTTTTCACCTACATAATATTAACTGCCTCAATCCTCTTAGGCAAACCTGGTGATGTTGTTATTGTAGAATTTGAAGGATAGTGTGCTGTCGAGGATGACACCTAGACTGTTAACCCGGGGGAAGAGGGAGGTAAAATTATCAGGAGTGAAAGAAAAACTATCACTATCAGATGGGGTGAATTTGGTACCAATGATGAGAATTTCAGCTTTGGTGCTGAGTTTGGAGTGAACCAGGTTTTAATTCAGAGATACAATCAATGAGGGAGGTGGGCAGAAGAGCAGACAAAGGTTTAGTGGTGATTTAGAGCTGGGTGTCATCAGCATAACAGTGAAAATAAACATAAAATTTACAGAATATATTGCCAAGGATGCAGATGATAAAGAGAAGGGACCCCAAGTCAGAGCCCTGAGGGGTTAGGATTTTTTATTTTTAGTGCGTCAAGAACCTCTGAAACTACTCTGTTTCTTTTTTGTGATGCATTAAAATGTCATAGCTAAACTCAAAATTTACACTAAATTTTAAGGTTGTTTTTTTGTATCTATAAGCCACTCTGTGATGACTATATACAGTAATTTGAGTTTAATTTTATAAAAATATAACTTTTTTCACAATATTCTACTTATTGAGATGCAAATGTAAATGAAATGCAAATGAAAGATGATGTACGCAATGGATTACTCTGTTGCACAAGGCAACAGAGTAGTTCCTATTTATTAGCCTAGTTCCTATTTATTTATGCAATTTCTGTCAGAGAACCGAAAGCCTTTATGCCCGACACTCTGACAGTTGTATCTCTATATTCCTCGTGTGAAAAGATGAAAACTTTCCATTTCTCTGCCCTCTCTACTTAAAAAGCCTTACAGTCTGAACTGAAACTGTCAGAATTCCATTCAGTGCTTTTTTTTTTTTTTTTCATTTTAGATTGCTCTTGTAATCACGACTGCACTTTTTTTGCACCATTTCTATTTTTTTGTTATGGTTCCTTTGGCTTGTCCACTTCCTATACTGCCGCCTCTTGGTCACTTGTAGTCTTGAACTCGATGGGTTTTTATCTAGCTAAATAAAAGCTTATTAAAAATAAATAAATCTCTTGCATAGGTAGATTTTAACTTTTTCTAATTGTCTTTCTTAATTGAATGTCTGCTGGGTTTTTTTGTCTAGGTGTTGTGTCTGACACCATATATAAGCATTCAGCAGTGACAGGAGGACTAAATACTGGATCTCCAATTACTTTCCCAGAGGAGGATGAGGACCCCAGAGTGTCTGAAGACACCACTTCCCCAAAAGGGATTTGGGGTTTTTTAAAGGTAACAGCTCCGCAATCACACATGGCTTTAAATTACGTTTTTGAGAATGTGAAACAGAAATTAAAATCTTATCCCTTACAATTTGACCTGAAAGAACCAATAGAAACATTACCAATATGAACTTTGTCACAAAATAAAACGTACACATTGACAAGTTATTTGAGCAGCAAATAACTGTTCAACAAAATGCCCTGCCAAAAACTCCTGCTATTTCTGAAACTCTGTCTTCAGAAAGTTATCACAACATTCCTCGTCTATTAATCCTTTAACAACATTTCTACCAGTGTTGCACCGAGTAGTAGCTTTTATAATGAGCTAAGCAGATGCGCAGTTCCGCCAGCTGTTTGCTAATTGCTGCTTGGCAGTCTGCCGGAGCTCAGTGGGGGAGTGGTGCTCTATAAGGTGGAAGCTCCAAAGCTTGGAAACTGCAGCTCAGAAAAGGAGCTGCTTCTTTAAGGCAGTACACCCAGGTGTTTTAAAAGGTCGGCTCTAGAGGAGTTTAGCCGGGGATGACTGGTTTCCCGGAGGAGGGAGGTAGAATGGGCAGAGTAAACAAGCTTTTACATAAGTGTTTTTTCTTATATAACTGCATGAACAAACCTTTATGTAACCTTTGAAATAAAATAACCCTGTTTATTATTGCAAAAACAAACAATAAGGATATAAACAACAACATAAAATGTTGAGTAATTATGCTCAGATTTGCATAAACATTAGCTCAGATGTTACAGAAATCTAAGAATCTGATGTTTCCTATCTATTTCTTAAAGTGTCCTTAGGCTAGCCTGGGTCTTCATGTGGCTAAAGTTGCCAAAGCAAAGAACACAAGCACTGTGTCACATCAGCCAAGTTGCTAAATAACGCACATAAAGGATAACTTTGACTAACTTATTAGCTTTTAATTTGCTAGATTAAAATTGGAGGGAAAAACCTATTTGCCTGCCTTTAAAATAATATTAAGGGCTAACGTTACAGTAATGGAGTTTAATAACTTTAGCTAACATTAACTTACAGCAATGTAGGATTGGCTTGAGTTGCTCTTGGCTAACATTACAAAGAAAGAGAACATAGTCAATGTTATTTTCTCAACGAAAATGTAAAGTTAAAACACATACCTCGTATGTATTAGGTGACAAACTTCAACTTCTTTTTAAACAGGAGGTTTGGCTGTTATAACTTATAAGTTGCCCACTCTGGTAGAAAGAAAAAAAAAAAAAAGCTTCCAGTCAGGTAGGGATGGGGTTGGGTGAACAGCTGACTCTGTGGGCAGACAATGCCCCTCAGTACCCGCCCATGCCACCAGACCTGGTTTTAAATTGAAGGATTTCTTGAACATGCATGACAGAATCAAGGCAACACTTCATATATGTTTTTAAAGAGGCAATAACATAATATGATCTAAAGCTCAAAGTTGATTTTACATAATGCTGCAAAGTCATCCTCACTGTCCAGACTTTAAGTCACATAATAAACAATAACCATAATATAATACAAATGGTCTCACACAGAATTTATAAATACTGTGTGAAGTAACTACCAGTAAGATGCTGTGAGATAAATCAATTTATTGTTTTGCCATTTGACACGTTTTGGTCAAGCACTCTGTAATTCAGTAAAAGACAAAAGACAAATTATGTAAAATTACAGTATTCTAACTATGGTCAACTTGCCTGTGTGTTCCCTGTGTGCCTCTTTAGGGAGTAGCAGGTAATCCCGTGGTAAAGAACGTCATAAATAAAACCAAACACTCAGTAGAGTCCATGATCACTACTCTGGACCCTGGCATGGCACCATACATCAGTAGGTTAAGCGTCTCACATTTCATCCTTTAACCAGGTGACTAAACATTTGAAGGTCTTTGTTAATTCTTCTGTGTTGCTGCCTTCAGAGTCAGGTGGAGACATTGACATTGTAGTGGCTTCTGATAAGGACATGAGCGTGCAAGCTGTCAGAGAGGCCTTCCAGGAGGTTTTTGGGATGGCAACGGTCACTGGAGAGCCAAGTCAGTCCAACATTGCCCCTCAGCCAGTGGGCTATGCAGCTGGAGCTAAGGTCAGTTCACCGTTTCTTCTTCTAGATATTTATCATTTTTAAAAACATTTCTGATAAACATTGTTAGAAGAAGCTGAGTTTTCCAAAAAAAGAAAAGTTGTAAGCCATGCTACTGGGCAAACCACCAAGTTCCAACTGTCTGCACTGCAGGTATATTGGTTGAAACATTTTTAACCCAGCACCTAACGAATGTGTAGGCCAGCTTTTCCCCTGCCATTATCAGAGGGGTCAGCCCACCCCACCATCAAAACCACACCTCTCAGAGTTGAGAAAAGCTGGACGAAAACACGTTTCTATTTTGTGTCACCAACACTCACACATGCCGAGTTAGGTGCGCTCAAAGGAAAGCTATGTGGGCCATATATCACCTCTTTTTACCATGCATGTGGATAAAAGGTTGCTGGTTTATGGCTAAAAACAGTAGTCCCAACACCCGGGCCGCGGACCGGCTCCAGTCCGTGGACCAATTGGTACCGGGCATCGCAAAAAATAATTAAATATTTCCGTTTAATGGTTACGTCGTCAACATTGAGCCACAAGCAGCAAAATGAGTAAAAAATGGATCAGATGTCTTTGGAAAGTTTCTTTGCGAAGGGGAAAGACCCAGAGGAGAGACAGGAGAATGGATTTATCCCGGTAGGTAACTCCAACATTCCAAGCCTCTCTGCTTAATATGCGGCGTTCAGCTCACTAATGAGGGAATGAAGCCTTTAAACTGCTTCGCCACTTAGTGACCATGAGCACCCTGTGCATAAGCAACACTTTGATGTCTCCCAGATGGAACCATCTTGTTGCAGAGAAACAAGCTCAGGGCTCCCATTAGTCGTTATCATGAGTTAAAATCTTCAAGAAAGTAAAATGTTTGTTTTTGTTGCGCATCTGTATCTTATTTTGAAGAGGTGTGTAAACGTTACCGTAGTGACCAGAGTCAGAGAGGGTTAGGGCAGTGATCAAGGCAAGAGGAGAGGAGGGTAGCTTGTGAGTTTTAAGTCTGGTTCACACGGCACGATTTAAGAATTGTCCGCTGATTTTCCAAACCTCTGTGACCACAGAGCTGATAAAAGGTTCGATCGGTTCGTGTGTCCAGCCACACGGTAGGAGCAACACACCACACGAACCGATTACAGTCACGAACATCCCGATTCCCGACGAAAATCAAACCCCCAACATGAATTTAGAACTTAGAAACAAACACGGATGACGATGTAGAAGCAGTGACGGTTTGTGGACTTATTTTAAGCGATAAAAGACATAACAAAATGAAAAGGCACTGGATAAAAGACGGCGGGAACAGCTGCTCTATTTGCTGCACTATGATTTGGAGGTGAGTTATGTTTTTTCGTAGTTAACATTTTTAACTGAATAAACCATATATAATAATGACCTTTACATAATAAACATTTCCACATATTATCTCCACTGGTCCACTGGACTCTTGGTTGTGCCTTGTTTAGGATTCCCCTCCTTGCTTACGTCACCGCGCTTTCTGATTGCCCACCCGTCACATTCAACAGTTCTCGCTCCCAGTCAGGGAAAACCTCACAGGCTGTGATAACCGGGCCAAGACAACCCAACTCGGGCAACACACCACCACGTAACACACCACACACTTCAGGACATTGTAAGATTGTCGCAAAGGGAAAATTGTGGCACAAATAAAAAGAGGCTTTACGGGAACACTAATTTATTACGCCATTATAGATGGCAGTTTCTTAAATTTTCAAGGTCTTTCTCATGCTTTTCTTATTCACTCAATTTAAACTCCAGTCACCCAACAGGAGAAGTACAGTTACAGAACACACTCATAGATCAGCTTTGCTGAACAGAGATTTGTTTTTTGTTTTTGGCCAATTTCTTGTATTCTGCAAGCCTCACTGTCAGTATTTCCTTCTATATTCATCTCATTAATCCTTTTTATATCTTTAAAGTTCGATACATCAAACAAAATACCTTTGTATGAAGCAAGTAAAGGCTAACGTCTTTTTGAAATCCAAGTGTGTCTATAGTACTTTTTTCAGAGGACCACCAGAGCTAGTCCACAGAAAACTCAAAAAAAAAAAAAAAAAAAAAAAATTCTAAACTATCATTACTTTTTTACCACAGTATGCACACCACCACAATTTCTGTTTTGTTCGCCATTACTAGGTTTCCACTCTTGATATTGAATTTCTGTCAATTACTTGGTTCTCTCTCTGTGTTTGGTCTTTTTATTTAGACTACTCCAATCCGACCAGTCAGTCATGCCTTAAGTTGTACTTAGGATCATCAGATAGGGATATTCCTAGTGTTTTTCTTTTTTCTTTTTTCTTTCTCATTAAAGATCAAAATTGGGACAGAAGGTA